GGTTCACGTCTGTGATGTAGAGTCGTTGGAAGGTGTTTAAATGACAAAACACGATGGTTTAAAGTTATACAGATATGTATAATAATGAATAAAATAAAATATATATAATATGTGGTTAATACAAATAAGATAGTATTTTATAATTGAAAGTGTGAGGACAGAGTAATTAAGCTCTGCTCGAGAATAATAAAGATTGACTCTCAGAGCTGGCGGCGATGTGAGGCGCGCGGGCTTCACGACCAGATGAGCGTCGGTGCAGTAAGCGGAGTAATTAGTTAACACTAGTTTAATTCATTCTACTATTCTAAATGTATGGGTAAATGGATACCGTATTTATAGGCAGCCATTTAGGATAAGAGTAAGGTCGATGGGGATTCTGCCGGATGTGAACAAGGAAGCTTGTTTCTGTGATATTGAAAATAGGCTCTGTTCCGTGGGAACTGCATATTAATACGAGTAAGTATTGATATTGGTTTCCGTTTCGGTTTTGCCACATTAGTATCAATACATGATATAATGTTAGCGGATGTTAGCTACTCGGTGGTTTACTACATAATGTAGATAATCCAAATCTGTAAAATAATAAATTAATAAAATACTACACATTTACTTTTAAATTGAAGCTGTATAACTACCTATAATTTTTTCGATTTACTACAACAATTTTCATTAGTTCTAACTTATTCATTTGTGAAATATTTAAGTTGCAAATATAACATTTCATCGATGAAGTCTCTGTCACTGCATTACATATTTTACCATTAATCATTGTAAAGTCCATCGAAAACTTAACTTCGCCTTTTTGATGTATACAGGGTGATTTTTTTTATCGTGAACCAGTTAATATCTAGGGAAGTATTAGGAATTTTAAAATAATTTTTTTTTTTAACTTTCTATGTTTTACTATTTTACACTGTGTTACAATTTTAATAATTTTAACTTCCTCCCTTATTTGATAAAACACTATCAACTTTTGATTTTCAAATGACAATACCTATTTTCTATAACGAAAATTTATAAACATACTGAAAAAAATAATTTTAACGTTTCTTGTTAGGTACAAGAAAGATAAACAATAGTGTTAGAAAAAAAAAATGTTCTATCAACATTTCCACCAGAACACCGTGTATCAGTGAGCGACTAGCCTGCAGCAGCGCGGCTGAATCAGCTATAAAGTACAAAAATAACATATTACAATTTACCATCATGGTTACATAATATATCACTGATTATTGATTCATGGTATACGGTCCTATCACATAATTCAACTGAGAACCGACACAATATGAAAACCCAATAATACTATAAATTTAGGAAATAGATATAATTATATTCTTTGTGTGAAATATGTCATATCATTGATAATGGATAGTACTGTGGCGGGCACACTGCCACATATTCCCAAGATAACCAATATAACCAAGATATTCAACACTAGTATAAAGAAACGTACATTTATCTAAACGAAATTTCAAATCGAACTTCGAGGCCAAATTAAAAATCTTTTTCAAGATAGAAAAATGTTCAGAAATAGTTACTGTCGCTACCAACATCGAGATAAAGTGTTATTTCACCTGCTTTAATTAAATCGGAAAAAATATGTAGCATAAATCTGGCGAAAACTTTCGGGGCATTTGTTAAACCAAACGGCATTTTAAGATACTCGTATTGTCCCAACGGGGTCACAAAAGAAGTATACGGTACCGACGAGGCGTTCATTTGAACATGATGAAATCCGTTTTTTAAATCGACAAGTGAATAATATTTTTTATTTTTTAAACTGTCAATTTGATCGTCGATCAGTGGAGCGGGAAAATTGTCTTTAACTGTTATTTTATTTAATTCGCAATAGTCTATACACAGCCTAGTGTCTCCATTTTTCTTTTTAATAAGTACTATTAAGCTGCTGTAAGGACTTCTACTCTCTCTAATTGTACCCTCTCTTAATAATTCATCCAAAATATTACGTAATTTTTCTTTGTCGTCATACGAAATACGTCTCGCTCTATACGCAATAGGTTGATCATGTTTCAATACGATTTTCATTTCTAAATTAGGATTTATATCCAACGTACTTTCCTCTTTGATTTTATTAACATACTCTTTCTGATATAACTCAAACAATAGCTCCTTCATATTCACATCTAACTCAGGATTTACATTCAACATTTCTTTCACGCTATCAAATTCATGTTCATAGCTTACACATAAAATTTGACTAAAATCATTGGTTTTATTCAATTCACCTTCATAAAAATCGAAATGGACAACACCATTTTTAAACGACAAATTAACACCAGGTTTGGTGACAAAATCCCTACCTAAAATTGCATTCATAGTCATAGTATTTTCGGGTACGACGTAAAAACACATAGTAAATGTATTATCGTTAACAAAAATATCAGTCTTAAACATTCCTAACAAATCTAATTTAGTACCATTAATACCAGAAAAAATACAATTTTTATCTAACGGTTTTATTACATTTATATTATTCGGAATTAACTCACGCTTTACCAAACTGATAGGACTTCCGGTGTCGATGATCGCCACAAATGTAATATCACACTGTGTGTCCGCGTCTACTGGAACATTGCATGAACAGGTCACTTCGTAAGGTTCCGGGTGGTCGTGAGAAGCCTTGGTTCGGTTTGACGTTACGTTCATTATTCTGGACTCGTTCTCGTTCACCCCTTTACTGCTCGGTACCTCCACTGTCTTCGCCGTTGTATAACGATTCAATGCTGGACACTTCGACCGTTGATGGGTCGTAGATCCACATTGATAACATGCACCCTTTTCTATGCGTGGTTTCGGACAAGCAGGCGCAATATGAGATTTCGCACCACAATTAAAACATCTTTTAGTCGGTCCACTTACAAAATTTATACTCGAATTTGTATTTTGTCGTGTCTCTAGTCGGTCGGACGACATGGTTTTTACCGGTTCTTTCGTGACATTAAACGATAGTATACGGGCGGTACGTGATGTATCCAAACGTTCAAAGTTGACAATGTCGTTTAATAACTCGTCGGTGTCGACGTGGTCTCGACTTAGTAAATGCATACTCAGGTCTTTAGAAAAAAGCCCTTCTAATATTTGAATTTTTGTTTCTTGTAATCCCAAATCGAGTATTGCACACAAATGTACCTTTTCGTGAAAATATTCTAAAACATTTTCACCTTTGCGTTGAACGCGGCGCGTCATTTCCTTCCAACGATCTCCAACCAACACTTCGCCGACGAAAGTTCGTTTGAATTGATTTTCGAAATCGATCCAACTCGTAATATTACGTGATAAAAACCAATGTCCTGCGGGACCACCGAGGTTATTGCGAACTGACTGCAATTTGAAATTGTCTGGCCATCGGTTTATGTCGGCTACGCGATTCACTGTTTTCAACCAATCTAAAGCTTGACATCGAGTATTTAGACCGTCAAACACAGGAATCGATTTATGAAAGTCGGGGGGCAAACATGATTTCATTTACCGGTTTTGTTTGCTGTACCTTCAACAATTCCATTAGCATATTATTCTGGATCATTAACGCCTCCAACATTTGTTTCATAGTCGATTCGGTCTCATTCGGCGCATACGAATTTGAACTATTTCTTTCGTTGTCGTTCTCGTTCATTGAAGTTTCTGTCGTTAATTGCTCTTTCGTTGCCGGCTCGTTCAATACTGTTGTACCCATGTCACTCGATGCTGTATCATCTGATTCACTCTGACTTACGGTGGTCTTCGATCTGGTTTTCATTTTAATTGTATTGCTGACACTTTCGTACTTTCAACTGACTAATTATATGTTTTTATTACGTTTACGACTGCGAAGGGATAACACGTCTATGTATATTATATACGCTACCCCACACCTGAACTGTTGGACACTTACTAGCGGAGTATAATGATTTTTAATATTAATAATTTGAAACAAAAAAAACATATTACGTTGTCTATGACTTTTATTACGATTTAAACCTTCGGGACTTACAAAAATGACATCGCGTCAGTACGTTACAATATCTGTCGACGTGAGATCGATAACAGACTAACTAACTGACTAACATTATTACTTTATCGTCATATTTATAATTTGCATTGATTCTAGAACATTCGACGGAAACACCCGATCATCGCTATCGAATCGATAATATCGTAGACACGATAAGCGCTCCGCCGAACATTCCAGAATAAACGCTAACAATAGTTTATACATATTATGCTTGTTTTATATTCAATAAGATATGTTGTATGATTTCTTAATTTATTTAAGCCTTTATTAGTTATTGATCATGCAAATACATTCATAAGCGGACCCAGAGTTTTACATTTGAGTGTGCCCTGTCCTTTTTTAGTTATTTTTTAAAAATGTAAAGGGGAGGCTATAAACACGTACGTGTAGACCATGTTATGATTTAAAATCTAAAACTAAAGAATTCGTTAATGATTTAAAATAACAATTGGTAAAAAATATACGTAATTATTATTTCAGACTTATTCTGAACACTTACACTATTAATGGCGTATTTGAGTTGAGGCCAGGGGGGGG